GAGAAAATAAAAAATGAAAAAGCTACTTGTTTTTTTTTTTCTAAAAATAAGATAACTTTAAGCATAAAACATTAGGCAAAATAAAGATTTTAAAAAAAACATGCTTGCGTAGCGACCTCCTTACTCGATCCCGTAGCAGATAGCTCTTTACCACGGACATCAAATCTGTATTTAGAAAGTGGTATCTTAGCAGCGCACCTAATCTAAATATGTAAGACAGTGAACTAAAGAAAAACTTCACATCTTTTGCAGAAACGAAGAAGAGTAAAATAACTCGTGACTTAAAAATTACCGTTCCATAAACACAATGTTCCCTGAAGTCCGGAAATGACTCATTTGAAGCCATCGCAGCTGTTTTTTCAGTAGACAAATACTTCCTTCGCCTAAGCAAATATTTCCTCCGTCTCGGAAAACTAGCAGATCGATTGGAATCAAGCTGAATAATTAAAGTTATAGCAATGAAATGAAGCCGATAGGGTTTATCATTTAAGATGAATTCTATTCTCAAAGATCGCATAGCAAAAACACAAAACTTTCCTCAGCCGTCATCTACAGTTATCGTTATCACTAGATCACGAAAGTAACTCAACGTAGAATACTTATTAACATAAAAGTTCAAGGCATATTTTATCAAGTTTGAAATATAGTTTCATAGTCTATACCTTCTGAGGAAATGGACGAGTAGAAACATTTTGGAAGCTGGCTCCAAAAGTCATTTGATTCATTAATGGAGGTTCAAATGCACTGTAAAAACCCTCATAAAATCCACCGCTATCAATTGAACACTCAGGCTCCATCATTCCGATGTCATAATAATTGGAAGCTGGAACTGTCACACGAAGCGGATCAAAATCCACTGGCCAGAATTGGTTTTGCTCATCCTGAGCAATCCTCATACGTTTAGTTGGGATAAATTCGTCATATTCTGTCGCATATGCATAATCAGCCATAGCGACCTTCAACTCTAAATCCTTGAAAGACAATTAATATTTCAAAGGAAGCCCTTTACTGTACAAATAACGAACTACTCCATAACACGTAAAGTCGACCCTAGAAGAGACGTAGAGAATTTGGATGCAGAACAATCTTGCATCTTTAGTCACTATTTCTAACAGTGTCTTAGGGCGATCCGTTTCAGCAACGATCAAAATTAAGGTGAAAACGAAATAAAAAACTTACTTTTTATGAGGCGACTAATTGTCAAACGAGACAAACAAAAAAAAAGTGGAAATTAAAGTTATAACAAACAACCACTTGGGACCTGTCCGCACTTGAGAGAAAACTAATAATAAAGCTGAGGAAAAAATTACCTCAACCGTTTTTATATCTGAGTGCATCGGTTTTTAAAAAGCTGAAAAAGCGCCTCAGGCGTTGCCGCGACTGAACAAATCGATTTCGACACTGCAGAAACAACTGCCCTTTTGTTCTGACTCAAAAGTTAGCCTAAGTTTTCAGGAAACCATTGAGAATAAAAACGCTCGTTAAAGCTTACAGCAATGAGGTATAGATAACCACAGCTGACAAAACTACTCTCCAGGCACTGTATTTTCAGTGAACAATTAGAAAGACCTACAGAGTTTATTATCAAATAACGCAGAAAAAAAGTGTAGTGTTCCAGAAGGGCTGCAGCAAAGTTGTCTTCACCTCAGTACAACAACAAACTAAAAATCAAAGAAGAAAACTTTGCTCAGATGGTGAATTAACAGGCAAAATGTTTTACGAATATTACAAAAAAATAATAACTGAGTGCCAAAAAAAAAAAAATTGTTATAATAATTACTAAAAAAGATATGGAAAACTGTCATTGAAAAAAGTCACATTTACCAGTAAGGAACTTCATTTAAATAAATTATATTTTGAAAAAGAATATGCAAACCCAGAAAAATGAATTCAAAAATATTTGAATATTGAAAATTAATAATGAATACAATTTAAATTAAGTAACAAAAATTTTAAGCAGTTGAATGCTGAAAACTTATGGAATTAGTAATTTTCAGTTTTGGACAACTGTATAAAGCGTTCATTCCACTACCAAAAAATTTGAAATTACGAAATAACAGGGAAAAAAAAAAAAAAATGGAGCAACTCAAAAAGCACAAATATTCACACCAAATTTTTCACATATCCGAAAAATGTCTTAACTGTTTATTGGCTGCTCAAAAATCAAACATCTGACTGATTTCACAGCAAACTGTGAAATAGGCAACAACTGATTTTGCCTGTATAAAAAAGTGAACAAAAATCTTACCGACTTATTTAACCCTTCAAAAGTGTATTAAAACATCCTGTGGAACTCGTGAAAAAATA